TGAGAAAGGAAACAGGAGCAGCTAGTTGCAAAAGAAAGATAAAGAAGAGAGTACAAAGGGTAAATTGCCCAGAAATTTATCATGAGGTCATTCCAGAGCATCCTTACATCCCGACCCCAACCGCCCCTCCATGTGAGTCATCTTCATTCCCATCACCTGTCCTTGCCTAACACTGATCCCAGATGACTCCATATAGCACTAAAGATCTCCCATGGTCCTCATATCTTGTCATATGATTACATGGTTTCTGTACCAGAGAGAGCCATTCTTTCCCACATATTGTTTTTTATTAAAATATTGAAAGCTGTCGCTGTGCTGGGAATGTCTGCAGTTCTACAGCTCCTAATGAGGGCTTGCTTAGCCTCCAGAAATGTATGACAGGCGAATAATCTCTGTGCCAGGTTTGTGGGAGAACATGTAACAGGGACATCTCTGAAAATGGTGATGCGTAGGTGTTAAGGATCTTAGATAGAAGGGCGAAAACTGAGCTTCACATTGGCTGAATCTCTGGGCAACTCTACCAGACATAGCCATATGTTCTAGCTATCCTCTCCAGCATAATCCTGACTGACTTGGGTCTATGTGGGACATCTGGGCAGATGCTAAGTGCCAGTGGAGGATAATTCAATACAGGAGTTCCAGATGTAAGACATTGTGGGTGAGTCCCCTGAGATACTCTTGGGAGGAAGCCCATTCCCCATCTCCTATGAAGGTGTTAAAGTCTTTTGCCCATGTAACCCAATGAGGATGCAAGTTTTTATGGTATTCACTAAGGGTCTGATACCTTGCCTGGCAAGGGTATGTTTAATGCCCATGAATGTTAGATGGGCTGGATCACAGTTGTGGTGGTATTTGAAGTGTGCTGAAAGACTGTTTCTCAAACCCCTTCTTAATATTCCTGATGTGTTCCTGTATTTGTATCTGCAAGACCCTAGTGGTCCTTCCTACATACATCAAACCACATTTGCAGATGATTAGATAAATTACTCTTTTAGATTAATATGTTATTTCAATTGCTTAATCTGAAAAGCATTGTTTTGTTTACTATTATGTTGTTGTGGGTTGGAAAATGAGGTAATGTGTCTTTTGTTTAGACCACTATTTTTGCAGGTACCACATACACCACATTCATAAAAAAAATTTTTTATTAAAAATGTTTTTGTTACTGGGTACTCCCTTATAGGTAAACATAGGTTTGGTTGGTAGAATTTTACTCAGAAGGGCATCATTTTGTAAGATCGACCAGTATTTCTTAAACATTTTGTTTAGTTAAAATCGCATATAAAAGCAAGATTGCATCCTTCTGTTGAATTTGTTGGAGTTTTGTATTTTTTTTTTTGTGTAAATTCTTTATTTTAGTAGTTTAAGTCTTTTTCAAGACAGTTGGGGTGCAGAATGGAGATAAAGGGTGGGGTAACAATCATCTCAATTACATTGAGGTTTAACATCATAACATGATGTAATTCAGAGTTTTTACGGCAAGTATTCATTTGGCAATGCTAGGTCCTGAGTGGTCTTTTTTTTCCTAATCTTTTCATCTCACTTTGAGAGGGTCATGTGGGTGTGGTGTTCCGTGTGCTAGTGTTTGGGGTTGAGGTGTCTCTCGGTGTTGTTGTCAGCTAAGTTGTGTGTATTTTGATGTCGTTGGGTTTTTTGGTTGTCAGTGTTGTGTGTGTGTGTGTGTATTTCTTGGAGTGGGGTGATGTTGAAGGGGGTTTTTGTTTGTCCGTTGTGTATTCATTTGTCCACTTTGACTTCTGTATGTGGAGTTATGTGGACATGTGTCTTGGGCTAGGTTCCCTTAGATGGCTTTGGTGTTTGTTTTCTCCGTGCCTTTGTTTGGCGGTTTTGATGTGTACATCGCGAATGTTGTTCAAGTTTGGGTCCTGGCTTGTATGTGTGAGATGTAGTGTGTTTTCACAGTATGCAAGTGTGTTATCTATGTGGGCTTGGGTGGCTACTTTTGTGGCCTGGTTTAGGGAGATAAAGTGGGGGAGATAGGGTTGTATTCAGGGGGTCCGCTATGTTCCCAGGATTAAGCTCGGCAGGGGGTTGCCCTTTGTCCCCCTGGTCCTCCGCTCAGTTTATTGGTAGGGAATGTTGAGTCCATGAGTCCCAGACCTTATGGTAGTGTTGTGTTGTATCATGGAGTAGTGCTGACAGTTTATCCATTTCCATGGCTTCATTTGTTTTCGTAATCATAGTGTTTATTTGGGGTGTGTTGTGGTTGCCCCATTGTTCTGGTTGCTAGCGCTATTCTCACCACCAGTTTGTTTTGGGCTCTGGTTAGGGGGTGTGTGGTTTGGAGAGTAGCCATATCCAGGGGTGCCTGGATATGTCAGTCTCCAGTATGTTGGATGCAATTGTGGCCACCTTCTCCCATATTTGTGTGATCTGTGGGCATTCCCACCAAAAGTGGATATAGGTGCCCTTCTGGCCACAGCCTTTCCAGCAGGAGTCTGTGGTTGCCCTTCCCATCTGTTTCATCCTCAGGGGTGTGAGGTACCACTGGAGTAGAGTTTTGTATTTTAATAAAGAATTGTGATCTTTTAAAGTGACCTCGTGCTGAGCTTGATCCAACAACTGGGCACTATACCCTTTTTTGTCTAAAGTCGTTAATAATTTTACATGATTGCACCTTAAAGACTTCATCATCAGTGCAATTCCTTTTAATTCTCATTAGCTGGGCTTTAGGGGCATTCGTCAGCCATGGTGAAAAATGGCAGCTTGTTTCTTCAATATAACTATTGACGTCCACTTGCTTAAAGTACGTTTTGGTCTTAATTTGGCCTCCCTCTATATATATCTTGAGGTCCAAAAAATTCTCGGAGTTATGGCTGTAGTTGCTGTCATGTTTTATACCCCATAGGTTGTCATTCAGTTCTGACAGAAATCTTAGTAGAGAGGATTCATCTCCCCTCCAGATAAAGAAAATGTTGTCAATGTAACGACGATAGAGCACCAGGTTAGCACTCCAGTCATGTCTAGCATACACATGCTCGTGTTCCCATGATGACATAAATAGATTGGCGTAACTGAGGACGAACCTGGTGCCCATCGCCATCCCACATACCTGAAAGAAAAATTCTCCCCCAAACCAAAAATAGTTATTCGTAAGGATCCATTGGATCCCCTCAATAACACAATCTATTTGGTCTTTATGGAATTCCTAATATTCCTCCAGGAAAAATCTATTTGCCTTGCAGCCCCGTTCATGGGAGATGATGGTATACAATGAGTTTATATCAGCGGTAACTAAATAGTCACCTTCTTCCCATGTGTGGTCTTTCAAAATGCTTAATATATCTTTTAGATGGCTGGGGCATCGAAGATTGTAGGCTGCATATGTGTTTAAGAAATGTTGGATTTGAAGGTATTTATAGCTCTCATGAGCTGACAGGTTGTACAGTTGGCAAAGCTCTTCAAAGAAGCCCACTGAGGTTCCCAAATATTGAATACCTGGCTTAATTCCCCTGGATTTTATAACTTAATTCCCCTCAATGTGTCGTTCTAAATATGCGAGGGGTGTACTGGTAGTGAGCTGTCTCATATACGGGTATTTGCGTACCATGTTATCCCTAATTTTGCGGGAATATTACTTGGAGAGCAGTAGGGTTATACTAGGTCGTAGCAAGAAGTGTAGTGTCTTAAATAGGTAGCTTATCCTCCAAGGACTGGCCAGGAAGTCCTCCATACAGTGGCGTGCACATGACCCATGGGGCCCCGGTGCGAAAATTGATCCGAGGGACCCCCGCGCTTACTTGGCGTCGGTCGGGGCCGCAACACATGGCGGCGGGCACCTGGCTGCAGGGCTGCGACCCCGCGACCGCGGTATGCACACACACTTAAAGGACCACTACAGACACCCAGATCACATCAGCTCAATGAAGTGGTCTGGGTGCCAGGTCCCTCTAGTTTTAACCCTGCAGCTGAAAACATAGCCGTTTCAGAGAAACGGCTATGTTTCACTGAGGGTTAATCCAGCCTCTAGTGGCTGTCTCATTGACAGCCACTAGAGGAGCTTCCGCGATTCTCACTGTGAAAATCAGTGAGAAGACACTGAACGTCCATAGGAAAGCATTGAGTAATGCTTTCCTATGGGCAGATTAAATGTGCGCGCGCCTCTTGCCGCGCATGTGCATTCGGAGCTGAGAGGCAGAGGGATCCCCAAGCGCCAAGGGAGTCCGACGCTGGAAACTATATTTCACTGAGGGTTAATCCAGCCTCTAGTGGCTGTCTCATTGACAGCCACTAGAGGAGCTTCCGCGATTCTCACTGTGAAAATCAGTGAGAAGACACTGAACGTCCATAGGAAAGCATTGAGTAATGCTTTCCTATGGGCAGATTAAATGTGCGCGCGCCTCTTGCCGCGCATGTGCATTCGGAGCTGAGAGGCAGAGGGATCCCCAAGCGCCAAGGGAGTCCGACGCTGGAAACTATATTTCACTGAGGGTTAATCCAGCCTCTAGTGGCTGTCTCATTGACAGCCACTAGAGGAGCTTCCGCGATTCTCACTGTGAAAATCAGTGAGAAGACACTGAACAGACATCAAACACACTCAGTAACAGACACATAGGTGTGTTTTTTTGTTTTTTGTTTTTCTTGTATTGTCATTTTTTTTTTTTAAATTTATTTTATTTTTATTATTTTTTTGAAATGATACATCCATACATATCAATAGATATCAGTAAGTATTAATACATGCTCTCATATTTAAAGTGTAGAATATACAATGCTTGTTCATAACTTTATATACATCATTACATTCACCCTAGCTCTAAGTACCATTCCATATTTGTACTAGTGTGTGTCCTACATGGATCAAGAATCCTGAATCATAGTGCATGTACTTTGACGTCTTATGGCATGTGCTATAGTCCTTGAGTAGGTTTGCTTTATCGCAATGAACTCAGCATTTGGCTTGGTCTATGTGAGCATAAGAATCATGTTTAGAATTATAACCTTAAAAGAAACCAAACTAATATAAGGATCACATTTGTAATATCTATCACCTCCATTGTAGTAACTTTGTGTCACCATACTTGTCGTGAGGTGTAGTGCCTTCAATGAACCTTGATTTAGGTGTATGGTGTTTTGGCCCTGCTGGGTGTTTCTAAGGTTGTCTTGATGGAGGCCTTCAGACCCTTCAAGTATGTCAGTACCTCAGAAGGAGTTTGCTTATCAATAGAGCCGAAGAGTCAGTGCAGTGTTCCTTTCATGTAGTATGTCCATGGTTGCCAAATGGTTGTGTATCTGTTGTACTTGTCTAAGGAGCCCCATCTAAGTTCCTCCATTGTATGAAAGTATTCAATTTTAGTGTACCGGTCCCTCTTAGAGGGTTGTGTCCTCGATTTTCACAGGCTCACTAATATCGATTTGGCTGCTGTCAGCATAAAGTATAATAGGGAGTGCTTGAATTGGGTGCACGGTAGTTTAATGTGGAGAAAAAGAAGTGTCTCGGGGTCATGGGGAATGTTTACTTCACAGAAGCCTGAAGTCAGTTTACAAGGCCACAAAATGTGTTGAAAAGTTCCCTTGGCTTCCCCACATCGCCAACAATTGGGAGATAAGGTTGAGTCAAACCTATGCATATCTACTGGGGTGGTGTACCATTGTGAGACAAACTTATAGTTAATTTCCTGCAGTGGGATGCTTGAGTGGCAATGAAAGATTGTTTTAAAGCTAGTGATCCACTCCTCACTCATTGTGGTTTCTAAATTGTCTTTCCATAGTCTGGTAAAGTATGGCAGCTGTGAATGTACTTGGGTCTGTAACAGTTTCTAGCAAGTGGATGTTAGTTTGGGGGTCAGTTTGCCCACTGAGCACAGGTGTTCAAAGTTAATGAGTTCCCTTTTGTTCCAAGTTAATAAGCCCTGGGTTTTCAGGAAGTGTTGTAACTGGTGATATTGGAACTTTTGCATGAGGGTTGGGGGTCTATCGGTGGTCAGTGCGGTAAGCGGTACCAGTCCCCCTTCCCCAAGACATCCACTAGCGGGGTGTATGGAGCCTGCTTACTCTCTCCTTTAGCTGTTAATAGTATTCCGCCTCTACCTGAGATAAAAAGCGGGTTGTGAGATATAGGATATTTAGGGGATACTGTTGGCACCAGATCAGGCATGGCACATAACTTTTTCCAGATACGGAGTGTGGTTGTCACTGTTGGGTGGTGGGGGATAGACCAGTCATTTGGTCCCGTCAGCAGCCAGGGTACAGCCGATAGTGCCTCTCCTATTTGAGCCTGCTCTCCTTACCTTTTGGAGTGCTGGGGGGATTCCCTGGGGTCCAGTGGTGCTGCTGGGTGGGCAGGCTGGCTGGCGGGCGGGCTGGCTGTCTGGGTGGCCGGAGCGCGAGGGAGCACTCTCCCCTGAGTGCTCCCTCTTCAGCTCCCTCTCGCGCCGCATAGGGATGCCGGCGCCGGAAGATGACATCATCTTCCGGCTCCGGTATCAGTGCGGTGCGCGAGGGAGCTGAAGAGGAAGCACTCTGGGGAGAGTACTCCCTCGCGCGCCGGCCACCCAGACAGCCAGCCTGCCCGCCGGGGTCAGCAGGTCCAGCCTCGGGGGGCCCTGGGGTGGCTGGCTCCTGGGCCCCCCAGGAGAAGAGGCTGGCCCTGTGGGTGCATACCGGGTCGCAGGGGTGGCCGTGCCCCCTGGTGGGCCGGGCCCGGTCACAGCCGCGACCCCTGCGACCCTGGTATGTACGCCACTGCCTCCATATCCATCTAGGAGAGTATAAACTTTGGGGTGAACATTACTGGGCAATAATCTCTGCTTTTTGGTAGGTGAGTATGCACCATACCTTCTGCACTGTGTGATAAATACATGGTTCTCCAGTTTATCCTCCTGGGCTTCTGAAAAGCAGTGTTAATTTTGGCGGCAAATATCTATTTAGTTTTAGTCATAGTCTTTTGACCAAAAAGCCTTTAGTTTGTCATACTTTAGTCATCTGAATTCTTTTTTAGTTTTAGTCTAGGTTTAGTTGACTAAATCTCTAGTAGATTTTAGTAGACATGACTAAAATCAAATGGGTTTAGTTAAAGCCTCTATCTGTCTCTTTTTCCCTTTCTCTAGCCCCTATTTGTCTCTTTGTGTCCCCCCAGCACCACTGGGTAGATCTCCCTTAAAGGAGCACTATAGTGCCAGGAAAACAAACTTGTTTTTCTGGCACTATATGGTTAATAGGCCCCCCTCCCTTAATCTAGCGCCGGGTGACTTCTCCACCTGCCGACGTCAGCTCCCGAGTGGCGCCGAATGCACATGCGTGGCTAGAGCCGCACACGCATTTAAACCACCCATAGGAAAGCATTACTCAGTGCTTTCCTTTGGGGATCTGAACTCACGCTGTGTAAGTTCTATGCGATTTTCACACTGAGAATCGCGGAAGAGGCCTCTAGTGGCAGTCAGGGAGACAACAACTAGAGGCTGGATTAACCCTGCAGTTTCTCTGAAACTATGTTTACAGCTGCAGTGTTAAAACTAGAGGGAAATGGCACCCAGACCACTTCATTGAGCTGAAGTGGTCTGGGTGCCTATAGTGGTCCTTTAGGCCCCTGTCTGTCTCTTTTGCACCATTTTCCAGCCCCTCTGTGGCTCTTTGCCCCCCCCAACCACTCTGTGTGTCCTTTTCTTCATAGCCCCATTTGTGTGTCTCTTCCCTCAGCACCTTGTCTCTTTCTCCTCTAGCCCCTCTATGTCACTTTGTGTGTCCCTCAGCCCCTCCATGAATCTTTTCTTCCCCCTGTGTCTCATTCCCCCAGCCACCTCATGTGTCTCATTCCCCCAGCCACCTCATATGTGTCTCATTCCCCCAGCCACCTCAAATGGGTCTCATTCCCCCAGCCACCTCAAATGGGTCTCATTCCCCCAGCCACCTTAAATGGGTCTTATTTCCTCCCTCCCCCACGTGTCTTACCCGCCATTGTTAATTTTGGTGGCAAATTTTAATTTAGTTTTAGTCATATTTTAGCAATCTGATTTTTTTTTAGTTTTAGTATAGTTTTAGTTGACTAAAGCTCAAAAATTTTAGTCAACTAAAATCTGACTAAAACTATTAGTCAACAAAATTTGCACTGCTGAAAAGCGACATATCTGTTCAGAATGTTTTAGATGGTTAATATTATTGAGTCTGGAATTGAAGGGGGAATGGTATGGAGCATATATAACAGCTTGGTGAGAACTGATATCTTGAGTGTACCGAACCATGACAAATCAAGGTTTTTCCATTTTGTTAGACTATGTATGGCTTTAGAAATCTTTATACCTAGATAGGTCAGGAAAGTATCTATCCACTCATATCTGTACTTACGTCACCAGAGAGACCCATCGGCAGCACCTGAGACTTAGACCAGTTGACCTTATAGTAAGAAGCTCATTCAAATTCTTCCAGAACTGACTGGAAAGCAGTGAATGAAATTTCAGGATTTGTCATGGTTACCATTATGTCATCAATAAACATTCTAAGGAACCTGATTCGTATGAAGACACCGAGTAGTAAAGTACTTTTTAATACCTTATTTCTTGCCAGACAAAGAATGAAAACAACTATCATCCTTAATCACACTATTATAGTGTGCACAGCTCAAGAAGGTATATGTACCCATTTAAAGAGTAAATAGAAGTCTTGGTTTGCTCTTAAGGATACCGATATCAGACTTAACGGGGTATCCTTTAGACTTATCTTCTTCTTATAAGCAAAGGGGTGGGGGAGACTCTAAATTCAGGTGGCAAGCCCATCACCCCCGGAAAAAAGTGAGCAATGTTTAAGAATAATTCTCTTAATTTGTGTGCTCGCAGGAGTATATTTGGAAATTAAATTGTTTTGTGTATCCAATAAGGTTTGTCTAGCGGATTGTTGTGTCGTCATAATCTGTTTTTTAATCTAAGAATCTATCTGCCATAGCAGTAAAACATTGTTCCAAACCAACTTCCTCAGACACTATCCTCTTGAACCTAAGTAGTTGGCTGCATGATAGGCCTGCCTTCAAATGAGATGACAGTTTTTTGGCATATATTTTGTGCTATTTTCTAATTTATTTTTAACTTTTTTCATACTTTTCCATTTTTTGGGGTTTGGATTTCCAATTTTCTAAATACACAAGTAAGTAATTTCTATTATATGGTGGTGGGTTTTGCATCTTTTTACAGTCCATTTTCACTTGTTTGTTGGTTACCTTTTTATTGATTGGATACCTGAGAGCTTTGAGTATAAGTTTAAAAAACACACACATTTGTGTGGATTTTTCCTTGTAATTGCACACTAAAAATATTATTTTTTGTTTGCCCATATCCTTCTCAGTGCAGTATATTTATTTCATTTCATTGGGTTTTCTGATACAAGCACCACTGACTCCTGAGTGTCAACTTGCATTCTATTTAGCTTGGCTATTTTAACCTTACATTTTCAATTTGGAGCAAATCAATACTCCGTGAACCCCAGCAAATTTTTCCAATTCAGTTGTTTTGACCTGAAATAAAAATTTTTTTTTAAAAAAAGCTATGAATACACACTGAATTTCAAGCGAATAACCATGAAACCTATTGATATTGAGAAACAATCAAATCTGAATTTGCACTTATGAAGACTTGCATTTTATAAATCTGTTTAATTCATTGTATTGATGTCAATATAATTGTGTTTACATTCTTGAGGTTTCCCCGACAGAGAGTGCTGGGGGGATTCCCTGGGGTCCAGTGGTGCTGCTGGGTGGGCAGGCTGGCTGGCGGGCGGGCTGGCTGTCTGGGTGGCCGGAGCGCGAGGGAGCACTCTCCCCTGAGTGCTACCTCTTCACCTCCCTCTCGCGCCGCATAGGGATGCCGGCGCCGGAAGATGACATCATCTTCCGGCTCCGGTATCAGTGCGGTGCGCGAGGGAGCTGAAGAGGAAGCACTCTGGGGAGAGTACTCCCTCGCGCGCCGGCCACCCAGACAGCCAGCCTGCCCGCCGGGGTCAGCAGGTCCAGCCTCGGGGGGGCCCTGGGGTGGCTGGCTCCTGGGCCCCCCAGGAGAAGAGGCTGGCCCTGTGGGTGCATACCGGGTCGCAGGGGTGGCCGTGCCCCCTGGTGGGCCGGGCCCGGTCACAGCCGTGACCCCTGCGACCCTGGTATGTACGCCACTGCCTCCATATCCATCTAGGAGAGCATAAACTTTGGGGTGAACATTACTGGGCAATAATCTCTGCTTTTTGGTAGGTGAGTATGCACCATACCTTCTGCACTGTG